AGGAAACAAACAGGACAAAACTTACGTGCGTAAGGATGTAGTAAAATTTTATTTTAACAGACAAAAACAAAATCATAAAAACATGGGATCATTACAACGTACGCTAGCAAAACAAAACAACTTATCACAACTAAGGCACAGAGAATTTTTCACAATGCACGCACCTTTTTTATTCTTTACGGTTTATACTAAATTCATCAAAAAACATAAAAATAAAATTTCTAAACTCGCGAAAATTTACTAAAACTGCATACAAATTTGCACCTTTCTAATCAGACTTTTTATAAAAATTTTTAAAATGAAGTTTTGCGGCCTATTAAATTTTAGTGAATTTTTGGTATTGTTTTTACTGAGAGTTTCTTCCATACAAACTATGTTCGACAATTCTTTTTATATGGCTCAAAAGCTACATTTTCAAAATTTTTCTAAAGGATTTGATTGGAAATTTTGATCTGAAGAAACAGCCTTCGAGCCAATAATTTTGTACAGCACTGTTAAGTACTCTAGGTCTCATGAAAGAACAAAAAATTTTCAAAAAAAGTACAAGATAACATTAAAACTAAAATTTTTTGTTGCTGTGAACTTGCTTCAAAACTTCTGTCTTTTCCTTAATAACGGGTGATTTTTTTGAGGTTAGGATTTTCATGCATTAGTATTTGACAGATCACGTGGGATTTCAGACATGGTGTCAAAGAGAAAGATGCTCAGTATGCTTTGACATTTCNGGCTATTCCGGCCGAAATGCTCGAAAAAGTTGCCCAAAATTGGACTTTCCGAATGGACCACCTAAGACGCAGCCGCGGTCAACATTTAAATGAAATTATCTTCAAAAAGTAAATGTCATGGACCAATCTAACGTTTCAAATAAAGAACCGATGAGATTTTGCAAATTTTATGCGTTTTTTTTAAAAAAAAAGTTATCAAGCTCTTAAAAAATCACCCGTTACATATATTTAATTGTAAAACTCTGTGCATTTTGTATGTGCATACGTATTTAGGTGCATATAATAATCAACTATTTTGCTTGTGGAAAGTTCAACTATCTGGAGATGTAACTATTTCACAAATGAAACCGGTGCACTGAAAGAAATAAGTTTAGAATCAGCGTTCGGACTACTGAAACTCGATACGGGAGTAAATGACTCGAAAAATCGCAGTAAAAACGAAATCATAAGCAAACGTCAGCAAAAATTATTTGGGTTAAATTTTGCTGCTTCTGACAAAGAGATTACCGTTTTTACTCTCCCATTTTTCCCCTACTTTGCCAGTAGTTTTTCCATAAACTAAAATATAATGTTTAAAAAAAAAAACGTAAATTATCGGATGGCGTATAAATTTTTGACCTTTTGTTAATAAGAGTTCTTGCGAACATTAAGCTTTCAATTTCGACATTAAGCCTGTTCCAGTATTTATTTTTAATGAGATTCATCTCCGAAAATTTTCTTTCGGCAGCAGCACTACTGTGCTGTAAAATAGCTAATGTCAGCTTATACTCTGCCAAATTTCTAAACATACACCTTTCCAAAACATTTTTCTGGTAAATCCCTTGGTTTGGAAAATAAAAAAAGTGATTCCGCAAAAAAGAGGTTAAAGAGCAAAAGAGATAACTTCTGTTCCACCTTTCTATACAAAATCTTGGTGCCACAGAAGTTATTGAAGAAAAATTTTAAAAGTTAGTTATTTTGTAATATATTCCTAATGTAAATGGAAAAAAAGTAAAAAAAAATCCGAGCATATTTTAAGACACTTGGAGTAGGGAGTAGATTTTAAATTTTAAAAAAGAAATCGGCGTACATCTACTCCGATCAGAGCAAAGTCCGGACGATGTTTACTACATCTAAAAAAGCGTACTATATTTAAAAAAATGCGCATATAGAAGAGCACCAACCCAACTCGTAATACATTTAAGTACACAAATTTTAGTATTTAGTTTAGAAATATTCAATTCAATTCATTCAAATGAAGCGCTTTGCACTTACCGATTGCTTTTACATAATTAAGTTAAAAAAATATTTAAATTCAATGTTGCCCTTAATGGGATTTGAACCCTGACCCTCTTGAAATTGGCAAATTGTGGCAATGCATCTTTGCGCACACAGCTACAGCCAGACATGTAAATGTGCATTCGAATGTTGTGTTTGAATCAACACCATGCGTGCGTGGTATGAAAGTATTATTTTTAAATACGAACATTTTAAAACGATAATCAAATAGAAAATATTCATTTTTAATATACGTCATTTCCCTCAGTGAATTCATAAAATTTTTCTGAATATTACAACGCGTTTCTTCTCTTAGTGTAGTGATTTTTGAGCTTTTATTCAAATTTGCGCAATCAAATCGAAAACCGGGACATTTAAGGTTGAACCGGGACAAATAGTCTAAAATCGGGACATGTCCTGGAAAACCGGGACGTCTGGCCGCCCTAGTGGTCGAAGGTTTGACAAGCCGTTTGAGGGATATGTGAACAAAATTCAAAATTTTTTGATTTTCTGGACACCATGGTGACGTTTGTTCAAACCGCTTACATTTTGTATAGTAAAATTGCCTCATTCGCAACGGAATTTTCACCGAATGAGGACGCAAGAGGGAAATATCTAAGAAAACCAAACTCTTTTACATTGTGAACCGGAATAAAAATAAAATTCTTTGCTTGAACTCAACATTTGAAAACACATTTAGATGTATGGCTGTAGCTGAGTGTGATAAGACGCTTGATACAATTGGTTTCTGCCAAGAGGGTCCGGGTTCAATTACCATCAGACGGAAAATAAAATAAATTGTTTTTTCTTTTTAATTACGAAAAAGCATCTGTGCACTTCACAACGACATATTTTATAACGTGCATACTCAAATTTAAAACGATTTGGGTTGGTGCTCTTTCATATGTGTATCTTTTTTTTAATTTAGCACGTTTTTTTTAATCCTAAAATGATTTTCCCTCTGTGTATGTCCTCTCCCTATGTTTAAAAAATCATCACATTCCAATTTGTATTTTCCGAGAAAAAATAAATTCCGTACCATTGCAAAAAAATTCAAATGATCATAAAAAGTCTAAATTTTAAAATTTTTCAATGAAATTTACGCAGTATATTTCAGGTGATTAGAACTTCATATGAAGAAACAAGTAATTTTTAGCAAAAAAAAAACCGACTTAAACTCAAATATAAAAAAAATATATATATATCATGATCCACTGATCGGATCTTAACCAGATTAGTATGGGACCACCTCTGAGACACTACCTTTCCGATGCAAAAAAAATTATCGCAATCGGTTGACGTGGTCCAAAGTTATGCGGTAACATACATAAAAAAAAAAAAAATATTCCGACGAACTGATAACCTCCTCCTGTTTGGGAAGTCGGTTAAAAATCACCTGGAAATTCGAACGTCGGTAAATTTGTGACCCACTTGAGATGGCAATATCTACACTGAGGAAAAAAAATATTAAAATCAAATAGAAACGTAATTGATCTTACTATAAACGTCAACGAAAGTACTGTATATTGGTAAATATTCAATTAAATTACGCGCATATTAAAATGACCGCGTTCGTACTGAAAAAGCATCCGTGAAGTGAATAATCAAGACAAAAACTAAAAAAAAAATATAAATTTAATTAACATGTTGCCTGCAGTGCAATTCGAACCCGACAATCTCCGGATATCAACAACTTATGGCAAGCATCTTTGCGCACTCAGCTACACCCAGACATATAAATTTGCTTTCAAATGTTGAATATCCATCAACACCACAGCACGCGATTTGTACGGATAAACATGTACCCCGCCAGCATTTATTATCACGGAAGTGGCGAAAAAGTAACTTCAAGAAGTTAAATTTCATCGCGGAAGTTATCGGTTTCTCATCTTTTTACTATCCTCTTTCGGGAAAAACTGTTCCCCGTAAGCGTTACGTCCACACTGACACACATGCGACACTACAGGAAGAAGTCACTCAAGTGTCGTCTGGAAGAGACAAAAGCGGTATATCTAAACATACTCACATACGACGCTTCCGAAAGTAACTTCTTAGATCCGTCTGGAAGAGAAAAAAGCGGTACATCCAAACATACTTACATACGACGCTTCCGAAAGTAACTTCNGTCGGTTAAAAATCACCTGGAAATTCGAACGTCGGTAAATTTGTGACCCACTTGAGATGGCAATATCTACACTGAGGAAAAAAAATATTAAAATCAAATAGAAACGTAATTGATCTTACTATAAACGTCAACGAAAGTACTGTATATTGGTAAATATTCAATTAAATTACGCGCATATTAAAATGACCGCGTTCGTACTGAAAAAGCATCCGTGAAGTGAATAATCAAGACAAAAACTAAAAAAAAAAAATAAATTTAATTAACATGTTGCCTGCAGTGCAATTCGAACCCGACAATCTCCGGATATCAACAACTTATGGCAAGCATCTTTGCGCACTCAGCTACACCCAGACATATAAATTTGCTTTCAAATGTTGAATATCCATCAACACCACAGCACGCGATTTGTACGGATAAACATGTACCCCGCCAGCATTTATTATCACGGAAGTGGCGAAAAAGTAACTTCAAGAAGTTAAATTTCATCGCGGAAGTTATCGGTTTCTCATCTTTTTACTATCCTCTTTCGGGAAAAACTGTTCCCCGTAAGCGTTACGTCCACACTGACACACATGCGACACTACAGGAAGAAGTCACTCAAGTGTCGTCTGGAAGAGACAAAAGCGGTATATCTAAACATACTCACATACGACGCTTCCGAAAGTAACTTCTTAGATCCGTCTGGAAGAGAAAAAAGCGGTACATCCAAACATACTTACATACGACGCTTCCGAAAGTAACTTCTTAGTGTCGTCTGGGAGACGCTGAAACGTGACGTAAAAACTACACCTGGAGGTTTCTCTTTTTATTTTTAGCTTAATGTAAAAAATGCAAATATATTTGTTAAATTTTTATTTTTACTTTTATTAACATTAGAAACAAGAAAAAGAGTTTGTTTAAAATTTTTAAATAGTTAAGTATAATTTGTTAACATTATTTAGTTAAGTATACGAGTTAAGGAACTAATTGCAGAGGCGTAAATTTCCGCGTGTATTTTCACTTGAAAGTTTGCGTTTGAGCACTCTATCCCTGGCGTGTAAGAAATGTTGTTGGACAATTTCATTAATTTTAAAATCTGTCGAATTTTGGAACTTGGAGTGTCTGGGAAAAATAAAAAAATGAATCTTAGTTATATATAAGCATTGCTAATTACAAACATATACTATTTTAAACCTTTTATGATGGCAAAAACTGCAAAGTTTTGTATGCTTGGCTTCTCCGATGTCTCACGCCAAGTTAAATTAATTGCCAACTCATCCGACTCAATTTGTTTTAACGCTAAACGTACGAATACAGGAACTTCTTCTCCTCCAATTTTTTGTACCACGCATTTCTGCAATCAATAAAGCCAATGTTTTATTAAAATCATAAGCACAGAAGCTGAAATAAGATTCGCCTACCAACTGAGCTCTCATCTTGTCGTCCAAAAACAATTTTTCGTCAAAATCCTTTAAAGTAGTTAATTCCCAAAATGGCAAGGATGGCAATAGTGAGCTGTCTGTTTCAAACAAGTCGCGTGCTTTTAATTGCGTTACTTCTTTCCTTAACGATATTATTTCCTCGGTTAACTTGGTAACAATTTTTTTGTTTGACTCCTCACTTTTCTGCATTTGCTCTTTTATTTCACGAAGCTCTTTTAAAATGTCATTTTTAGCGGTGTTTATGTTCGTATCATTGTGGTTAACTATAAGTAAACATAAAATAAATATAAATATTAATATATCGTCACCTGAAATGCAATAAGACGTAACAAACATCCTCCCTTAAATTCAAAACGTCGTAAGTAATAAAAAATTCAAAACTCAGTTTTTGATGATATGATGGATTTCATCGAATTACAACTCCCACATCATTTAATGAAAAAAATACAATTTTTTAGTCATGACTTTTTCCATTTCAGTTACACTGTATGTTACGTCTTTTTGCATTTCAGGTGACGATATGTACATACTGTTACTTACAAAATTGAGCGTACGGCTCTTTTTTGTTAATATTCGCAAGGTTTTACATGCAAAATTTTTTTGTTAATTTTGTATTAAAATATGGCTTATGGTTTAGCAAACCCTATTTAAATGTAAGAATGATAGTGTGTACGAAAATTAAGAAAAATCTGCAAAGTTTCACAAAATCGCAAACTTTTTAATACGAATTTCTAAAAAAAAAATCGGGTATGCAGTTTTATAGCCCATTAAATTTTAGTATAATAATGTGCAAATATTAACAAAAAAGAGCCGTACGCTCATATTTGTGAGTAACAGTATATGTATTAAGTGAAAGCATAAGAAGTAAATAAATGTATACCCTGTGAAACATTTGATAGTTCGATGTATTGAATCTGTTCTTCATTTGGAAGAGAATCTAAAACAAAGGTATTTTAATTCATAAATAAAATATAATAAACATTAAACTATGAACATACAGTGGCTCCCCCGAATAACCGGACACAATGAAAACCTTGTGAAAATTAAGAAAATAATTTCCTTTTTTGGGCTGTCCAGTTATTTGATGGAGCCAGCGTATGTATATTTTATAAGGTATAAGATGTAAAGAAATGTATACCTTGTGAAATATTTGAAACTTCGATATATTGATTCTCTTTTTTTTTCATTTGAAGGGAATCTGAAACGAAAGTAGGGTAGAAATTATTTTAAATCAATGAAGTTCTTTAAATAATTGTAGAAATCTTACCAAGCGTTTGAGCAGCCATTATGCTAAAAATGGGAAAATAACAAACGGAGGGATTATTTTATTTTCCAGAATTATTGCCTTGTTCAAAATTTCTTTAAGAGAGAAAGAAATTTCGTCCCCTTCAGTCAATTCGTTTACTTTATACATTTTTAGTTTATTTGAAGCAATCGGTTGGTTAAAAAGTGCTTTCAAATTTTTTAATATTTTGCCTTTAAAATTAGGAAAATCATCAACTTTACTTATTCTAGTTATTTTTATAATATTTTCGCCAACAAAACAGATTTTATTCGGTTTCTCAATTGAAAATAAGAAATTTGGGGTTTTCACAAATTTATAGCACTCAAAGCTGGTATCAGGATGCTTACAATATATATCTGAAACTGTTTTTATTCGTTTTAATGTTAACCTCTTTTCTACTTGCCTATTATAGAGCTGGGCAGCTACATTATTACATTTTTATACCCGAGCGCACTTGTGCACAAGGGTATATTAATTTTGTTCACATAACGGTTGTTTGTAACAGCCAAAACGAATCAAGATAGATATAGACAAATGTATACATAAATGATCAGGATGAAAAAAGAAATCGATTAAGCCATGTCTGTCTGTCCGTCCGTCCGTCCGTCTGTCCGTCTGTCCGTCTGTCCGTGTACACGATAACTCGAGCAAAAATTGAGATATCTCAACGAAATTTGGTATGTAGGTTTCCCTTAATCCAAGGTAGGTTGGTATTGAAAATGGGCGAAATCGGACTTTAACCACGCCCACTTCCCATATAACGGTAATTTCCAGAAATACGAAAACTGCGATATTTTAGTAACTACTGAAGATAATTCACTCAAAATTGATATTTATAATAAGTTTTAGACGAAAAATAAGAATATTATAAATTTTTGGAAAATGGGCGTAGCCACGCCCACTTATGGTTACATGTGTATATCTTGGTAACCGCTGCACCAATTTCTTCCAAACTTGGCACAGTTGTTGGCCTTGGTACAGCATAAAAAACCGCCGAAACTTTTTAAAATCGGACAATAACCACGCCCACATCCCATATAACGGTAATTTAGAGAAATACAAAATCTTCGATAAATCATTAAATATTGAAGCTAATTTATTCAAAATTGATGCTTGCAACAATTCTTTACCAAGAAATACGTTTATGGTAAAATTTTGGAAAATGGGCGTGGCACCGCCCACTTATGATCACATATAAGTATATCGGTAACCGTTCTACCAATTTGTACCAAACTCGGTATGGTTATTGTACTTGCCACGTGTAAGCAAAACGTTGAAAATTATTGAAATCGGACTAAAATAACGGCCGATTCTCATATAACGGTAAATTTAAGAAATGCTTGAAACTTCAATATTTCGAAATTGAAGGACGCTAATTTACTCAAAATTGATACACCTCGGCTTACCATCTAGCGGAAGGTTTCGGAAGGGTGAAAAAACATATATTTAATACTTGCGCCGGGTATTTAATGTTCGGCTCCGCCCGAACTTAGACTTTCTTACTTGTTTTACTTGCTTTTTTATTTTTTGAAGATGGTTTTCAAACCTGAATGCGCTAATGCTTTCCAAGCTTCCATATTTATCAGCGTCCGTATTGATATGAAGTAAATAATTGAAATTAGATGTTAGGAAACTTAAATCGTACAGTGAAGGGATATCTTTTACAAAACTCAGCAAAAGATTTTGAGCAAATGCGTTATTTATTTGACTATTCTTTTTTTCTAATTATATCCTAGTTGCTATTGATAATTTCATAAAGTTTAAATATCTTTCTTCAGATAAAACAGAATGCACCAAAAAAGGTCCGTAATATAATAGAAACTGGCGGAGTTCAGTTGCTTTCCATCTCTTTAAATCATCTAAAGATCGTGGCTTCCTCATAAATTCGTGTGGAATACAGTTTTTCAGATTTATTAATTTAGAAGAAAGATCAGTAATCTGCCATGAAGTAAGAGAAAAATGTACCCCCTTTTTTTGTATCCATGCTTTCAGTAGAGTCCTTGTCACGCCAAGCCAAATAATATGCATGTAACCTAACCCAACTTGATACACCATATCAATAGGCAGTTTTTCGATCAACATTTGATGCTGCTGGTTATGGTGCTCTGGTTGCGTTCGATTTCTAAATGAGTAATCATCTCTCAATAAGCAAATATTTGGGAACACAACACGGTTTTTATACATTTCCCCCCTTTCACAACATCTTGTGCAAGAATAATAACCACTATTACCCTTAATCCCCAGCACAAAAGCTCTTGCCGGGGCGTCCATTACAAAACATTTTATTTTTATTGTGAACCGTTTGTTTTGGAATTGTTTGGAATTGAAGCCCTATTGTATACACATCTGAATAACCGACTATGTTACATAATATGGGCCATACTTGCTTGTTCGAACTGTTGGATATAGGTAAACCATCGATATTAAAATCTAGAAAAATTGTTTCAGAGTTAAGTTCATTTACTACTAAAAAATCAGTCAGGACATCTTTTAAACCATAGTGGGCGTATGACCCATCTCCCATACTTCTTGCTACGATACTCTTAGCAGTTTTCTTCAGTGTTCTACTATCTTTAGGAACAGAAATATTTTCTTCCCTTAATATTTGTAATAGTTCGTTTAATACACTATTGCAGATATTATTTTTAATTGACCACTGACTTAGCTTTTCTTTTAAAGCCAATGGATCACAGTGGCTGTTCTCACCACCGAAATCAAGTTCACTCTCAGTTTCAATTTCGCTCTGGGAGTCACTGAAACTACTTCCATCAAATGCACTTTCTTCATTAATTACATGCACTTCACTGCAGCTATTGGGTTTTATTATATTAATTTTTTGCTTTTTTTCAACGCTGTTGTCGCTCAATGAACTGCCATATATATGGGATATAATTTTTGATGCCTCTCTTTTGCTTTCAATTTTAATAGCTTTTGAGGACGTTATATTAATTTCTGTTTTGTGGCTTAGCAAATTGTGTATTTATAAAAAGCTTAGATTTAAAAAAATTTAAAATTTACTTTTAGCACTTGAAATTCACTTCTAATCGCCAACGTCCTGTTTTACTTTCAATATGTATGTAATGGTTTATTTACCGACTTCCGAAAAAGGAGGAGGTTATCAGTTCGTCGGAATCTTTTTTTTTTTATTTTTTTTTTTTATGTATGTTACCGCATAACTTTGGACCACGTCAATCGTCAAGGTAGTGTCTCAGAGGTGGTCCCATACTAATCTGGTTAAGATCCGATCAGCGGATCATGAGATATATATATATATATATTTTTTTATATGGGAGTTGAAGTCGGTTTTTTTTTTGCTAAAAATTACTTGTTTATTATTTATTTATTTATATAACATTAATTTATGATTAAAGCCATAAATTGACGAATTTAAGAGCATTGGCTGCTAAATGTATATAACTATTTTAATATTCGAATATTTTATAAAACAGTAACTTTTTTTGCTTGCTGATATTTTTTTTAAATTTTTATTTCGCCGTTATCTAGACAAACCAGAAATTGTCGTCTTTATGCGCAATAACAAGTTAGATACGCGATAGTAGTGTACTTTGTTTTTGTAAAGTATATACCATCTTTCAACTAAAGTTTAGAAGTGCCTCAGACGTTACTTCGCTCTGCATGCTTGGGGAGCGTATGTACACTTACATATACATACTCAGATGTGAACAGTCAAATACGTGCGTAATAAATTTTGTATGAAAATATTATTTTTAAATACGAACATTTTTAAACGATAATCAAATATAAAGTATTCATTTTTACTATGCATTATTTCCCTCAGTGTACGTGATTTATATGCAGGGTGTCCAGGAAGTCATGGATAACCCTTTAACCGCCAGTGCGCGACAATATGGTCTACCAAATAAAAAGATAAAAACTTACAAAAAGTGTCATGGTTTTCGAGATTTTTTGAATTTTTTTATATTTTTGAAAAATCTGTACCTTCGGTCGATTTTTTCCATGCCGTTTCTACAAATAAAAACTTTTAGAAGTTGCATCTTTTTTATTCTTATCTAAACTTATTCCGCTATCGACAAAGTATAACACTTTTTCAGTAATTACATTTAAAATGTTTAAAAATTAACTCCAATACAAAATTTTGATCCCGAATAAGTTTTTACCTTTACATTTGACGAAACGTGTTGAAAAAAATTTGTACTACACAAGTTGCGAAAATAATCTTAAAAACTTACATGTTTAATGGGCACTCCGAAATGATATAAAAGTTATAACCTTTAAGTTTTTCTGCTGTTGTTATTACGATTTGAATCTAAAAGGATGCTTATTACTTATCTAGCTTTTAATCACATGCTATAAAACAGCCGTTAGGGACGTGTGTTACAGTTGTTGACTTTAAAACAGCTACCTGCCCAGAAGCACATTGGCTTTGGCGATTTAGTCATTTGGTGTTTTCCCGACTTTTTGCGACGCGTTTTCGGTTTGTTCATAATTTTTTGCGGTACTACTGGACTACTTTTGCAATGTGATTTTTAATTTTGATATTGGTGTTATTAGTGATCCAACGGATTATTGATTGGGGAGATGTCGAGTTCATATACACCAGTTGAATATGCAAATATACATTTCATGTACGGGGAATGCCAAGGTAACGCCAACGCTGCTGCCGAATTATACCGAGAGAAGTAAGAGACCTTTAAGTTTCACGTTGATTTAGGTGCAATTTGAAATAAGTACATAATAAAAAAATTTATCGTTGTTTAAGGTATCCCAACGGACGTTATCCGGACTATCGCGTTTTTATAAGAGTCGATAACTCTTATTGTAAAGGAAGGAGTCCTGCAATGGGTCCTGTGAAAGGTGATGATGGGAGACCACTACTACCAATCGCTGTCGAAGAGGAAGATCTTCAGGAGGTTAGAGGAGACCCTGGTGTTTCGGTTCGCCAAATTGCCAGACGAACGGGCATTAGCAGGTGTACGGTCCACAATATTCTGAAACGTCATAAGATGCACCCTTACCATG